TGGGGTACATCCATTTATTTCAGGACTCCAAACTGACACCACTTTATTCAAGTCAATCTATTTTATAAAACAAAAGAATTATTCTGTCACATAAGGAAAGATGCCACGTTTAGTATGTACATTATATCTATTCCATATTAAGAACAAAAAAATAATAATTAAAGTATTTTAAGGACAAAATAAACTTTCTTAATGTTGCCAGTATGATGATACATTCTTTTTCTCATCTTAAAATACCTTTTCCTAGTATCTTGAAGTTCTTGCTAAGTGTAAGGATGTTTAAATATATTTATGTTTTCACCATTACTTTTCTGAAATTAACCCCAACCTCTTCCCAAGCCTTAATAATGAACCTTTGACTATCCAAAAGGTATATTTGTGTGTCCTGCAAATACAGATCCTTTGTGTATACATGTATGGTGTAAGAGTGAGTGTAATAACATGTATAACTTCCATAGTAGTATCTCATGTTTAGTCTCTTGACTTAGAAAATCTCCTTTAATACTTTGTATTACATTTAAAACAGTAATGAAAACCATTGAAACTCTAAATATATGAGGTTTAAAATCTTCCTCAAGGGGTATGTGTATTCCCTTCTGTATTTTCTGTACCCCTACCTATTGACTATTTCTCAGGGGGTAATCCTGAAGAAAAATGGTATGCCTGAGTTTTTAAAAATGTGTTAAGCAGTTTCACAATTCAGTATATATCCCCTTGCAAAACAGTCTCTGAATTTATGTTTGGTAAATCTAAGCATGATATAGTTTAAAAGAATATTACACTTAAAGAAAAAGTGATTTTGAGTTCTCGTCTTTTCTTACCAGTTACTTAACCCCTTGGAGCCTCATTTTTGTCAACTGTCTAGCGTTCAGATTTTTTGGAATCTAGAGTGATGAAAATGCCTGAAAATCAAGATATATATTTTTTCATGAATCATCTCATTTACTCTATAGTCTGTGGAGGCATCTAGGGCAAATAAAATTATCTCTGTTTAAGATAAAGAAATGGGCTTGGAGATTCCAAGTTGACTAATCCAAAGATGATAGACACAGCTCATGACAGAGATGCTCTGTTCTCTGGCACCACACCACCTCTCATTTCAGAGGAGGTGTATCTTTGTTATCCCAATCGTATGGCTTTTAATACTTGGTGAAATCTTTTTGAGTTATTTTATTATAATTCTTTGAAAACTGATTATTCTCTATTATGATACTTAGAAGGCATCCCCCATGTAGTTACTCTATGAATCTGATATTCTGATATTTAAACTAGTCATATCATATGTTGAATTAATTAAATAGTAGTTTTCCATTTTGTGGTAAGAAAATATTCTTAAATAGGAAAGAAAAATTGGCATCCTTTTCATCTTTTAATTTTAGTCACTTCCCTGTAATAAGAAAAAGAATATGTATTGTAGAAAGCTTAGGTATTCTTATCGTATGTAAAGTTTTTTCTATTTCTGTAAGAAATTTGATTGGTAGTAGTAGTACTCTATTTTTCAAAAAAGTTTATGGGTCTATGGAATATTCCTCGTAGGTAATAATTTATAGTTTAGTGACTTTTTTAGGGAACCAATCATTTTAAGTCTCTATTTTTTGTGTAAATCATGAAGCTTCCTTTGAAAAGGAGTTTATTTTTGTTTTTTTCTTTTATAGGAACGATTGGCTTCTTTGCATGCTTTTGGTTTGTCACCAAAATATACAGTGTGGTGAAGGTTGACTGAAGAAGCCCAGTGTGTCCAGTTAAAACAGAAATAAATTAAATTCATCAACAAAGACCTGTTTTTGTGGCTACCTTGAGTTTTATCAGACTTATTGGCCTAGTAATCTTTCAGAACAACATAATTCTAAACACACCTCTTCAAATACACCTGTCCCCACAAAATGTGTTCTCAACACTAAAACATTTGTATTGTGATTTGATTAAGTATGTATTCAGTTGTCCTCAGTGAAGAGCAAATTAAAATACTATGTGCATTTGTAAATACAATAGCTATAAAATTTTCAATACTTCTAATGGCAAAATAGAGGAGGCCATGTTAAACAATGCTGATGAAATAAATACAGGACAGTTCATTGTAAATAGGGTTTTCTAGGCTCGGTAGGTGGAAAGAATTATTTTTCTTTGAAGGAAATAACTTTTTATCATGGTAATTTTGAAGGATGATTCGTATGATGTGTATTGGGGGTATGTGGCTTTTAAAAAAAATCTTGTCTTGGTTGCAACTGTTCATATCTTTTCTGTGTTGACTTCATTATTCCCATGGTATTGGCCTTTTAAACTATGTGCCTCTGAGTCTTTCAATTTATAAATTTGTTATCTTAATAAATACTGTAAAAATGTCTTCTTTGCATCATTACCTGTTGTATATTCACAAAGATTCTGTAAATATGTCTATTTACCAGTGGTGTTTTAAAATGATTTATACTATTTTATCAGGTTTTACTGATTTTTATTAGTGTAATACTTTTAGGAGTTTTGATCTAAATGAAATTCCAGTCTCCTGGGCTTTGTAACAAAACTATATTATTCCCTAATAGGCAGTAACAGAAATTTCAGTCTTGTATATCTAGCCAGATAATTGATGTAAATATAGTAGTTAATATGAGCCTTACTGCATTGCCATTAAGGATTTCATATTTTTGACCTGTTTTTCAAAATACAGTATTTTTGATTTTTTTTTAAAAAATCGGTTTTTATGACCTATATACATTGACAAAGACTAGCAAGTCTTCCTCTTTATGATTACGCTGTCTTAATTTGGATTGCACAATTTTATTTCTTAGAGTTAAGAAATAACTTTCTCACATTCCTCTAATTGAAATCCATTTATGTGGAATAGAGAAGTTGGGGATGATTTCAGAAACAGTCTGCTTATATGTATGAGAATATATGTCTTGTATTTTAGGGGCTCAGTGCTCGCAGCTTACAAGAGGAAATCAGATAATGTCATTAAACTTGCAGAACTTGTAAAATTACTAGCTGTTCCTCATATGATGTTGGTGGGCTCTTAATGATTTTATGTTGCTATACATTAAAAAAAAAACTGACCTATCTGTTCTGAAGAGTGAACAAGCTCTAGTTAACTTCTTACATAGATGGTTTAAGATAGAAAACTCCTTTCAAATTTATCTGTCTCTTGCAGTATATTAGTTTTTTATATATAATACTATTAAAGTACCAATGAGATAGGCTGGTTGACTAAACAAAGAAAAGAGTTTATTTAAAAAAACTCTGGATTTAGATACTAGGCCAGTTTTGTTGGTTAGAGTTAAGTTTCGATTTTTCTTTTCCTTCAGTGAACAATTAGCTTAGTGGTTTCCAAAACAGTCAGCTTACTCTTTTGATACAACTTTTCTTTTTCTTTATACTTTAACCATATTTCACACTTAAGCTGTGGAAAGGCAATTGGAAAAATAAACTGAAAGTATTAAAAGACTTTAGGAGGGAGGAAGGATGAGGAAGGAGACAGTGAAACGGGCGGCAAGACCAGAGGTAAGAAGGGCAGTGGAAGAGCCGGACTCTTCTCTGAGACTTTGGTCACGACTTCTCGAAGAGTCACCTGCCGTGATTTGTTCAGGGAGTTCTCCAGGAAAAAAGCATCCTGATTACAGCCTGTGAGGTGAGTAGTTAGGATCTGAGGCGTTTTCCCTTAGTTTGAGTGCACCCCGGGAAAAGAACATTTGGGCTGCACTGTGGTCTGAGCCCTGTGACTGGGCTTCTCTGAGCTATTGTGAATTACAGCCCACGGAGGATAAAGGGCTTTTTCTGGTCTAGCTTTGTAGAAGTCCTGCTTCTGAAATAACCACAGTTGCTCAAACAACCAAAGAACCTCAGCTGTTTGGAAAGGTTTTTAAGAACCCTCATTAATAAAGATCTTTTCCTTCATACTTCACAATGCACAGTTATTTATCAGGTGTCTGTGCCCCCTCCCCCGACTAAGATTATGAACAAGCCCTTTGGGGACAGGGGCTCTGTCTTACTCATCTTGGTTGCCATGGTGTCACAAACACGGAAGGCAGTCACTGGTCTTCTGAATCTTTTTTCCTTTTCTTGTCACTTCAGAATTTACCTAGTTATGTCATTTTCTAAGTGTCCCTATGCTTGGCTGATGTGATATCTAAGCAATGCCAATATGTAATCTTGGTTAATAATGCTATTTATTTTGCACTTTAAGCTTTGTGCTCTATAAGCAGTGCTTTAATTGGAAGGAGTGACTGGGGAATTGTGAATGTAGACCTTTCTCTGCATCATACTATATGAGGTACGAAGCTTCTGTGAAATTGCTATATGGTCATAAATGAGCATCTGGTTACTTTGTTCTATTGGATGTTTAACTTGAAAATTACCAGTACCTTAAATTTGTGGTATCAATACCTCATATTTTTACATATCCTAGCTAAAATTATGTAATGCCATGAGTCATGAACCACTTTAAAAATTATAAAGCATTACAGATCTTGAAGATGTTCTTTAAGTGATTCATTTTAGAAGGCTTTGTAAAGGCCTGCTTTTTGTTTTCAATGAACAGAATAAGTAACTGCTGTTAACAGAATGAATTTCTTACCTCCTACGGCTAGCAGGACATTCTGGTATGTCATTAATATGTAAATTTAGATCATTAAGAAAATATTTTCTGTATTTGTATTTTTCTCCTATATATAATGACCTACAATGAGACCCATATGTAGAAGATACGCTTTCTCAGATATTTATGCCTTAATAGAATCAAACTTGTTTTTTTATCTCCTTAACTATGTAATCTGCAGTCTAAACACTAGAAATCATTGTTTCTGCACATTCTTCTACCTTTTGAAATTCTGGATTCCTTCAGCCTGCTCATTTGAACTTCACGTCTTTGTTCTTACATTTGATTATCTTTTTTCCCTTTCATTCTTTGACCCACTGATACAGTTAACATTCTCATTAATAATGAATTGTTTTATAAAGAAGAAAACACATGCTCCTTAAAGTGCTGTTCTTTCCTTTGGGTTGTTGTTTGTAATATGGAGCACCTTGTGAATTTGCGTGTCATCCTTGGCGGGAACCATGCTGATCTTCTCTGTCTTTCCAATCTCAGTATATGTGCTGCCAAAGTGGAGCATGTCCTTTGGATATTTTTAGCAAAAAGCAGTCTAGGCCACATGAATGGTCTTGACCATGATAAATAAAAAGCACTATAATCATCGGTCTTTAATTTCCCTGAAAAGTGTTGAAAATTTGTCTAAAAGTGATAGATTGGAGGATTAGCACTCCCTTTTTAAAAGTTAGTTTTTATTGATAACCTTAAGGTCAATGGCATTGTATACATAGAATTCAAGTCTTGATTTTCTTCCTAAATGTAAGCTGGGTGATTTGGGGTTAGCATTATTATCAAAGAAAGTCATAGGCAGGTGAGTCAGTAGTGTGAATTAGGATTTTCTGGCTGATGCCACAGGCAGACAAGTTGTGTTGCAGCGTGTTGACTGGGACTGTCTCATGTTAAGCGGTAAACCAAGCAGATGGGGCTGGGTTCACCACACTGGAGAGTTGCCTGTTTCTTGCTTCAGCAGTGCCTATGTGGAAGGAGCTGGGTACTCAGAATCCAGCCCATGATACTGCCACTGAGCCAGGACCCTTATGCAGGGTCCCCTTTCTGGGCCATCACCACAGGCCTCGGGACACCTTCTGACCCCTCTGCCCTGGATGATGTGGCTTTGGAGAACTTTGCCAGTCGCTTGAGGAGGGACATGATGAGAAACTGATGAAGCTGCAGAACTGAAGTCACAGAACCTTCTTTCAGGACATCAAGAAAGCAAAAGGTAAGAACTGAGAAGAGTTGAGTGCACTGGGAAAATGTGAATCAGTCGTTACGGGGATTGCACAAACTAGCTGCCATCAAAAATGACGCCCCTCCTCCCCCATCCTGTTCTTATGACTTCCTTGAGACCCATTACGTGAATCTATCAAAGAACTGAGCAGTCAACCTGTGCAGAATGGGGGCTCAGGGATCTGGTGTCTTTGACAAACACACCCTGGGAGGCAGTGACAACTATAGCTTAGATTCAGGCTGGCTTCCCTAGAGCCACAGGAGTGATGGCCTTCATCAAGGCAGGGATGTGTCACTGGGTTACCTTTGATCACTCTAGAGGATGTACCCCCACCTCTGTAAGCCTCCTGCCCATGATGTGTGTGTGTAAAGGTGAGCGGAGGTGATGTGGAAGGGCCACAAGTGTTGGGGTCAGATGGGGTATATTTCAGTCCTGCTCTACCACTAATGAGCAGATCCCTTCCACATGTAAAAATTTTGACTAAAATGTTTCCTTTCCATCCTCAGAACTCATAATAATTTTTAAAATACTGATGTTTGACAGCTCCTCTATTATTGTCCTGAATATTACTCAAATTATTGTTTTAACTTTGCAGGCTAATCCTTCCAAATAGATCACAGACTTTTCAAGGGTAGGAACCACAGCTTACGTCATTTTTGATTCAGGCCCAGGGCATAACAGGACTTTGCATATAATAGATTTATATTTGTTGATTGAAACGAGGAATTTAAATGATATGTGATTGATTTTTAAATATTTAAATTGTTTGGTATAATAATGTAAAGACACTATTTCAATATTTTGTTTAGTGCTCAGATTCCAGAACGTGCTATTTTGATTCTGTAAAATTTTGCATTTTAATGTGCATCCAGCAACATTGTCTTGTACACTTGTTCTATGTTCAATGACAGTTGTTAAAACAAATCAGCACTGGCAGAACTTGGCCAGCTTCTCTCTACACTTAGTTTGAACTATTACCCATGGAACCAGCTTAAACATAAAGCTACAAAGAGGCTAATTGAAATCAGAATGCTGGGTCATTTCTCATTCAAACAAAACAGATGGCCCTCCTTGCCACACTTCTGTCAAATTTGGGGGGGAAATGATTAAATGCATTTTTAACTCCCACACATGCTTACCCTGCTCCTTAAAGGAATTATTCACGGCTATTGAAACGCAGGGGGTGCAGGAGGGAGGGCTTTATTAATAGCAGATCTTGTTTCCCTTTATTTTGAAGGTTTAAGGAAAAGTGCTTTAACAGAGATAGTCAGTATTCACAGTTTCAATTTAGATTTTGAATATTTATTTAATTTTCACTTATTCTAACTCAAAAAATTTTTGGACTAGGTAATCCACGCACATGGTAAACAATTGAAAATGTGCAAAGAATACAAGAGAAAAGTAAATCTGCTTTCAACCTCCAGTCACTGACTTCTCTCCGCTGGAGACAATCATTGTTAATGGTTTCTTTCCAGAAACTGAAACTTCATTTTTAATTTACCTACTTGGAACCTCTTTGTTGATACCTATTTAACTGACAGTATTAGTAGTGTTTGGTTTCAGAATTGGCATAAGAGTTGTAAGAAAGCAACTGTGGAGATTGTATTTTTATTGGGCAGAGTATGTTTGGTATATCAGTACAAAGCATCACTTGTTATAAAAGACACCACACTGATTATTTAATAAATATGTAAAGTGGTATACACCACCTCTTAGGACCTGTTTGGGGAAAGAAATTTGAAGAGGAAATTCTCTTGCTCCAACTCCACTACGCAGAGACAGTACATGATGACAGAAGCTCTAATAAAAGATCCCAGCTCACGGAGGCATCAGCTTATCCCACAAATGGCTGTGCAGAAATATGGCCCCTTATTTCCGATCTTTAAAAAACAACTTAAAAACAACTTGATACCTGGCTGAAATGTGCGCCTCCCAGTTTATCTTGATGCTTGCGCACGCACGCGTGCGCAGACACACACACACACACACACACACACACACACACACACACACACACACACACACACACACACACACACACACAACACACACACACACACACACACACACACACACACACACACACACACACACACACACACACACACACACACACAGTTTGCCTCAGGAGCTGGGTGCCCCACCTCAGCTTTCTCTCCACGCACACCCCCCACTCTTACCAAAGCATAATTTCAGAAGAAGTCACTATGTGGTTTATTTCTGCCTCAGGTGTGAGTTTTGTTTTTTTACACCTCTTGTCAGGATGGTTGCGTTTTTAACCATATGAGTAACGGTGGATTGAGCTTTGTTTCCTGGGGGAAGAAATCCAAGGATCAGTGTGAGCAGCTGGGGAGCACATTCTTCTCAGCACCCTTGTCATTGCTCCACTGACGTGGCTAACTCCATGCTCTGGAGCTGCCCCCGTGGGTAGGGACTCCCCCTTTGTTCTCCCTCGCTTGTCCTTGGCTGTGGCCGGAAGCCCAGGTGCATGGGTGCCTCAGAGCACACACCCAGCTCAGGCTCAGGGTTCCAGCAATTCCCCAGGCACATCCTGCTGCTCCCAGGCCACCTAGCATAGTCTCAGGAGGCCCTGGCGTCCCCCAACGTGGTGGTGGTGACAGCTTCCAGAGGAAAGGAATGGCCGACCCCAAGCAGTGCCTACGAGTTGGCCTCTTCCACTGGGGGATGTAGCCTGCATTTTATTTTTGGGGGCTACAATAGCTACTTTCAAGGCTGTGAAAAACCTGTAAGATACACTTTGATTCTGACTTATACTTAAAATTCAAATGTTTAATCTTACGGCTGCTTTAAGTTATGTGTGAGTAAATGTATATGAGATTTTATCAGCAAGTAATGAAAGGCTCAATGAGAGTTGGTAAAGATGTCATTTCATAATAAGCCACATTTGCCTGTGCTTCTCTCAATGTTCTAGTTTCATAGACACGGTGGTTTGGCATTGGTAATATTTATCCTAATTTTTCTAGATTTTCCACAATGTATAGGTGTTCTATATATGCATTATAAAGGGTAGCATATCACTCTATTTTGTTAAAATCAGTGTGACCACTAAAGGAAGGAGAGGAATTGCTGGAGGAGGTACACCTTGGGAGATGGACAATGCTGTACCTTAATCTTGCTCCTGGCAAGAAGGAGCTGACCTGGGGTGCATTTGCAGGGTTTGGGTTGCTGATGGGGTGGTAGAGGCAAGCCCGAGCCTCTCTGGCCAAGGCCAGGGACAGTGGTGAAGACCAGGTGGAGGTTGACCAAGCAACATTCATTGACTGGGACCTTCTGGTGAAGGAGCCCTGATCTGTTGGTTTTCTGGTGAATAGAAACATGAATCAAATATAGGAGAGGATGTGGCAGTTGAACGGCAACTGTCCTTGAGACAGAATGTGGGGGGGTTAAGGGAGGACAATGAATTGGTTGGTGTCTGTTGATGGAGACTGACTCCTGCTATCGCTCCGTGAAAAAGGCAAGTGGCCTCTTGACTTCAAGGCAGCTCAAGGTGTCCCCCATGGCTCATGCCTTTCCCTTCCTTGCCTGCACTGCACGGGGCAGGAAGCGGAGCTCCAGCAATCAGTGAGCATCCTGTGAGCGCTGAAGGGGCAAGACTCTAGTGGGTGGGATGCCGAGGGAGGTGGCGGGAGGAAAGTTCCAGAACTCTCCTCAAGAAGATGAGCTGTCCCACAAACTCCCTCTCATCATCAAACAGAACCTGATGAGGCCCTCAGTCACAGGCAGGCTTTAAAAGCTGCTCAGGGCCTGGGTACAAGATGGGCCAAGCCAGGCTGCGGCTCCCGGTGGAGTGTGGCTGAGGCAGCCCTGCAGACTGACTTCTGCCATGTGCGGAGCTGCAGATCAGTGTCCCCGTGGCCCAGGCAGAGCACATCCTGCTGAAAAACCGGACGTCAGTGCTCACTAGGGCACAGGAGATCTACCTTGTAATTTCTTAAGATTTCCGGCAGTTTTGAGGTTTGCTGGGCTTTGGTGGCCAGTTACTTCCTGAGGAAGGGTGGTCCAAGAAACTGTTTAGATCCTATAGAAATGGCGGGCTTTCAAAGGGATAAATAAAACAGCCTCCTTTCTCCCTTCCCTGTCCTCCCTTCCCTGTCCTCCCTTCCCTCTCCGCAGAAGCACCAAAACTCCTCAACTGGCAAAGAATCGAAGCACATTTCTCTACCAGGGACCAGGATACAGCTCTCTCTCTATTTTTTCTGACAAGAATCATTTTTTTTTTCTTCTCTCTCTCTCTCTCTTCTTTTTTTTTTGAGAGAATTGTAAATTTATATGCA